ATTTTTTATATTTTTATAATATAATCTATAATATATTATTATTTGTGAGATAGTTTAATTATTTCATTTTTTCTTTAATGCCCTCATTCTATCGCCGGACCGCCTCAACCATTCCTGCATACATGCCTCGATTTCGGCGATTGTGTTATTGTCATATTTCAAAACAATCGCTAAAAATTAAATAGTAACTAATGAGTATTACATATAACTATTTTTCTACAAGACAATAAATTCTTCCTGTTGCTGAATTAGCATAAACTCATACTTGAAAAAATATTGTAGTACAATTCAAAGTATGCATGGAGCTATCAAAAAAAGGAAAAAATTGTTAAATGAACAATTTCTTAATTACTAAATAATATATATATATATATATATATAATATACCAATGATTGTATCTGCTAGTTTTGAATTTTTCATGGACAAAGTCTTTTTTTGTCCTGTCCAGGTATATGCTTGCGCAACTTCGTATCCAATAATTTCAGCCATTATGTTTCTAACATTTTTGGCTACGGTTGTTCCACCTATCTGTGACATTCTTTCAATCTGTAACAAATGTATATGATTTTAATTAAAACATTCAATTAATAACAATTAATTTAAATAAAAAGTTAATCAATTAAATTAATAAGACGAAAAACATCCTATTCGATCAAGCCTAAATTTTAGTGCCTAATATTTCTATGTAAATTTACATAAATACATATATGTAAATATATATTTCTGTTACATAAACTGTGCGTGCGCGTCCACACACACATACACAGAGATTTTATTGTCGGATTTGCAATCATAACTAAACTAAAATGATATCACGAATTAATTTGACACAATGCTTACTAAAATCTTGTAAAAAAAATTTCCTATATAGATAGATAAACACACACACAAACGCAAAATATATAATTAATAAAGCATCTTACCTCTCAGAAGAAAATAAAGACAGGATAAATATAGCGGCCGGACAATGAGCAGGACTTAAAATGTGCGCAACGTAGATACATGCACATGTACTGATAATGATAAACGTTTTCACTAAACGTTCTTAGCAACTTTACGTTTACGGTATTTATAATGAGACGATCTGGAAAGAGTTGAGTTGTTCTAACAATAATTAACGAGATATATACACACACACATATATATAATTTATTATTAATTTCGCGATTCTTACAATATAACCTTATATATAATTAATAAAGCATCTTACCTCTCAGAAGAAAATAAAGACAGGATAAATATAGCGGCTGGACAATGAGCAGGACTTAAAATGTGCGCAACATAGATACATGCACATGTACTGATAATGATAAACGTTTTCACTAAACGTTCTTAGCAACTTTACGTTTATGATATTTACAATGAGACGATCTGGAAAGAGTTGAGTTGTTCTAACAATAATTAATGAGATATACACACACACACACATATATATATAATTTATTATTAATTTCGCGATTCTTACAACATAACCTTAAACCTTGATATATATACTAATTGTTGGAAATATATAAAATAATGCACCAAAAAATTATACTAAAATGTATATAAAATTATCTTTCCTTATCGTATTACATATTTACTATAAATATATATGAAAAAAAAGGATTACCTTTGATTTTAATGCACCTTATTTAGATCAGTCTGCAGATCGTCAGAGGCAATCAAAAAGGAAAGGCCGAAGGACGCGGGGTCTCAATTAATTAAGGCCGGTGTTCATAGAGAACGCGTTCGGAGAGCGCGAATAGCTGACTATAAGTCAACTTTTACAAGTCGACAAACTATTCTAGAAAAAGTCTGCTAAATGTCGACTTTAAAAGTCGACTTTAAGCTGACGAAAAAATGTCGACTTACAGTCGCCAAACAGTCAGGTGTGCTGTGTGGGAAGTTTCACAGAAATCCTACAAATACTATTATATAATAAAATAATATAATATTTTAACTCATCCCAAAACTTGCAAGGGTGATTTTTACCCCAAAAACCGTTTTTGGGGAAAAACAAAAAATCACGTGTCAAATAGTTTCTAAGGAACTACTTATATGCGCAGTTACAGAATAATTGGTGATTATCACTTGCCTAGTGTTACTTGTTAGCTACTTAATGAGCGTGTAGTAGTGAGATTGTAGTATTAAATGCACTCTGTATATATGTTGATGGTTTCTTTCACGTCATTAATCCTTGTACGCAGCGGTTGCAGTTGAAACTTAAACTGAACTTGCATTTTTCCGATCTTTGGCGTATCGATAGTGCAGCTTTAGAATTCAGTGTGTTTGATGTAGGTACATCTCGGGATTCTCAGATCTTGCACGAAATCGATCGATATATGGTGGACACTGTGATGGAGAATATAGTGAAATTTACGCCGGTATACGATGATGCCACTGCGCGATCACTCGCTCGCGAATTCACGAGACTTGAAGGTAAGATGCTCGGAGGAGGGGATTTTTTTTAGAGTGATATTCATAATCTGTTCTTATTTTATAAGACTATCTTAAGTAATGTCTTAAGATGCTAATACATTCCTCTGATTGGCTTATGACATCTTAAGACTATACTTAAAACAATTTCAAATATAAGAATCGAATACCGGCCTTAGTACGTATAGTTTTTAGAATTAGAAAAACATAAAAAGAAATAGGTATAAATTCTTTGACATAGTTACGAAACTCAACATTTTGGTCTTGATTCATCAATTTGACACATCTGGTTCTCCAATTCCTGTATCTGCTGATTGAGAGTATGTATTAACACAGGTATTCTATTAGAACTTACAGCGTTATATTATTGGGTATGGGAATAAGTTTCCGCCTATTGTAGAAAGATGTCGTTAGTAGCATTGCTTGTGTGTTTGATAGAACGGCAACACATGTGTTTGAAAGGTTTGTGTTCAAACTTTTGAGCCCAATAGTTGGCATTCGTTCGAAGCGTAAAAAAGAGTAACTTTTTTTGCATTGAAGATGTCGGAATTTATTCTAAAAAAGCAACATTTGCGGAAAGTTTTACTCCATTATTTTATTTTAAAGAAAAGTGCTGCAGAATCGCATCGTTTGCTCGTAGATGTTTACGGTGAGCATGCTCCATCGAAAACCAGTTGTAAAGAATGGTTTCGGCGATTCAACAGTGGTGATTTTGACGTGCGTGA